CATCTTATCGCTTGTATCACTGATATCAGTTATGTAAATTATGTCAGAACAAGTCCATATGCCAAATCGTCCATTTTTTTTCGGATTTTCCATTGTTATGAAACCATTTTCTGGTACCCCCATGACTATGGACCCCCCAATATATATTGTGGTTATTGTTGGTTGAAGTCCCGGTAACCGGTCCCGGGGAGCATTGGGAATTTCCGGTTCCAGGTGTCTTTGGAAGCATGCTGGGCACTCCGCTCCGTGGCAGCACTTTGGAAAGTCGTTCCAGGATGAGTTCCACTAGCAGCGTGAAATGACCATTTATAGTGGATTTACCCATTAAACATCGTGATTTTCCATAGTTATGTTAGTTTACCAGAGGGTATACTGATATATACCTGGTTGGTGGTTTCAAACATTGTTCATTTTCCATAATATATGGGATAATCCTTCCCATTGACTAATATTTTTCAAGATGGTTAAAACCACCAAGCTGTAATGTATTGTAGATTGCAGATAATTACAATATGAGCTATTTAGAATATGTAATATGTTATCTTTACATTATAATCAGATGCACAGCATCATGCAATATGAACATATATGACATATATGAACTATTTAGGATACGTAATATATCATATGATATGTAGTTATATATTGTAAAACTAGATACACACCATGATATATAATACGAACTATGTACTATATTATTGACTAATATGAAATATGTGTACATTATATGAACATGTTATACACAATTATACTATACTGCAGTGTAAAGTAGTTAGGACTTAAACATAAGGCTTTTTTTTTGTGTTTATGGTACTTAATACAATATGCTTATATATACATGTATTATAGACGCAATATATTAATATACATAGATCTATATACACATGAATTTGCATCGGTACTAATACAATACATACATGTATGCTTATAATTATATATTTGATATTGGAAATGCATTGATACAGATCGCATACACTATAGTATGATATGAAATGACATGATATAGTATAACACAATACAGTATATGAACAATATGATACAATATGATATACTGTGATACAATATGATATATTACACTATAATGAAATGCAACATGATACGATACAATATAGTACAATATATTATACCTATACATATAATGCAATACACATTGATGCAAGATCAGACAAGATAATACAACTCATATGATATGGTATGATGTGTATTATATGGCATGACATGTATATATATATGTACAATGGAATACGTCTAAAGCAATAGAATACACCCGTGGATCAAACATGGAATCCTTGTTGCTTAAATCCTCATCGGCCAAGCTTCAAGCTTCATTTTGCTGCTTGTACCCTCAGGTAAACATACGAAAAACTATGAAAAATAACCATCTTTAATAGGTGAACTATTTCTATGGGCCATTTTCAATAGCAAACTGAAAGAAATCATATAGCCAGAGATAATGTTCATTTTATTTCTTGAGTCCATGTTGTTTGAAACATTGAAACCGATTCAGCTGCTGGCGAAGACCGTTTTTTTCCCGCTTCTTCACAATGTTTGGTGGCTTAAATCCTCATCTGCTGGTAGCCTCTGGTGAAGTTAACAGTTTGATGACCCTTTTGAAAATCGGTAAATGATCATAAATCATCTATGAATCATCAAGAAAATGGGCCATGTCCATCATCTATGATCATAAATGGTTCATAAACATTTGAAAATCATCTATGATCATAAATCATCTAATGTTCATCCATTTTCATCCATAAAATCGCCGAAAATCTTTGGATCGAGGCTCATCGGGTCCACCAGCAGCGCGGCAGCTTTGGGCTTGCACGCGACCAAGGTCCGGGCCTTGGTTTCCGTATGGGGGAACGTTGGGCCTTGGGCGATGGAGTCATGATGAGTCATGGGGTAGCTCAATAGCTGGATGGATGGGTTGATTTCATGGGAAAGCCTAGCAAAGTGGATGATTTGGGGGTACCCCCCATTTTAAGAAACCTGGAAACCTCCATATTGGTAAGTCGTTGGGGATAATGAGGTGATAATGAGGTTAAAGCAAGAATAGAGTGAGTAAATGAACCATCCCAAAAAAGTCACCAGTTTTATGTGTTTTTTTTTTAATGGTTACCATTCCCAGTCATGGTTGTGGTATAAAGTTTATTGTTTTACCAACTGTTTTCCCCACCTTGGTTGATTCTTGGGACACTCCAACTTGCTAAGTTGGTTCGATGGTGGGGTACCCCCAAATCCAAGGGCGGTCTGACGATTCGAGTTGGTTTAATAAGGTATTTGCCCATGTTTGATATGTTTTCAACCCATTCATATGGTAGGAATACAACTTATAGTATCTTATAATCAACATGTATTATACGGTGTTTGCTCTCATTCTAGCTTTTGTCGTCACATCCCCATGTTGGATTATTTCAAACTGAAGTTATGTTTTAGCGAGCCAATGTCTTGCCGTCAGGATAGACCTGTGGTGTTGCCCAACGGGGAGATTGGTGTCCGCACCACGTCTCAGAGTAGTTTCACGGGAGGATGTTCCATCACCATTGTGAGATTGCTGGGGCAGCTCCTGAAGTTTGCATATGAAAAAAAATGGTTTTGAAGGTTTTGACCATATATGGAAGTGGTATGAACACTGAAAATTCCACCGATTCAGGGGGACGTTACTTTCGAGGCCAATTGGGGTCAATACTATGCAAGGTCGACTACAACCGGCGGGTATGTGTCTGTCGGGAACCAGAAATTGGCAGACCTTAATTTCTTCATGCTCATGCTGGGATAATCCCTTAATCTAAATGATCTAGAACTTGCTTGCAACTATCTTAGAAACCGTTTATAACCGGTGTAATTAAAGTGGGTTTAGAAGATTTAGAAGCCACTGAATCCCTTCTCATCAAATACCTCCCCACGATAAAAAGCTCTTAAGTGAAATATTGGATCTATGAAAATTGGATTCCTCGTAATATATGATATATAGTGATATATATATATATATATATATATATATTCATGTCTATTATGAGGGGATGACCAGCCGGTCCACGCGACCCATTCCTGCTACCGGCCTTCCCGGCCCCGGTGCTGAGGTCCCCTGATGTATTTAGCCTTGACCTACGACCATCGACTGGTCGACGGCCGTGAGGTGCGCTGAGTTCCACTGGTTCCACTGGTAGACTGGGGTGGGATCTATGTATATGTAAAGACATACTCGTACATATATGAATATATGCACATGTATATATATATATATAAATACGCATATATAAATATATGCATATATATATGTATATAAATACATACATATATAAATATATATTCATATGATTTCATATGTATATATATAATATAATATAATATAATATAATATAGTATAATATAATATAATAATATATATATATATTCATATGTATATGAATCATATATATATATGATAATATATATATATATGATATAATATATATATATATATGATATAATATATATATATTAATATATATATATATGTACCCAGTGATACACAGATATGCTATACACAGGTACATACGGATACATACCTATATGTACATATGTATGATCCTGGTCCAGGGTCCAGCCCTGCCGGCTCCAATGGTCTTGACTTGATGGCCTTGATGGTTTGTTTCTTTCTTTCTTCCATGTGGATTTGTTGCAAGCTGAAGATGTAAAATACATATGAATAATGTGGTTAAAACAATTCCATTTGCACCATCCCCCAGGAAAATCACCATTTTTCTAGATGGTGTTACCACCATTCCCAGTCGACTGGGTGGTTTATGACATGGTTTTAACCACATGACATGCAGTGAACGCCCCGAATCTCCAAGATCTCCACAGCCAAGGCGGTCACTTTCCTGTGCATGGTGCGGGATCAGGTGGAGGAGACCTGGGAAATCCGGACTTTTGTTATCTTATGGATTACATATGATTACATACCCTCTGGTTATGGATAACATATGATAACATGGCTATGGAAAATGGGATGAACATGGACCATTTATATAGACAATTGATTCTAGCACAGCATTATAACTCATTGACCCAACTGTGTACTAGCTACTTCGAGCTTACAAACCAGCAGCCCTGATCACCGGAGGATGTGGTTGGATCGTGGTGAACATGAAACCAAAGTTGGAGATGGTTTATCACCATGTTCTCATATTTTCTCCTAAAACTGCCATATTTTATATCATTTTATGATGTAAAATTTCTGAAATGGTCTCAGACACCTTAAAATTCCATAAAATTCCTGGACAGGACCCGCGGCGAATGCTTCTGGAGATTTGAGTCGGTTAAATCCCGGTTTCAGCGCCACTTGTTACACTACGGACCCGCAACTTGTTGATTCATCGCTTGAAAGCAAAAAGAACAGCGCTGTGGATTTGGAATTTTCCGGATTTGGCATCGCCACCTTGGCATGTCTTTTGCTAGGACCTTTCTTTGTGCGACTGTGCGCAGGCCTTTGGGTTCCAAGGAGCTAACTTGAGCTGTTTCAAGTTGGTGATCAGCAGGCAATTCTGTAGTTGAACTGATTGTGGAGTTGCGTCAGCCTGATATTAGGCTAGGGAAAATGGGCGGCACAGATTTTTCCAAGGGCAAACTCAAGTTCTTGAGAAAAGAAGGAGGAAAGCCAGTCCACAGATGTCCATTTCCCACTGTTTTCCCAGTAGTTGGTTGATTCATCAAAGGTTCCCATCCATTCAATAAGCAATAGGTACATTCAACAAGCTGATTTCCCACACCGGCCCAAGATTTTTACAAAACACCGGGTAGCCCAAATCCAATGGTGCCGGATCCTGAGGCTCACGCTGTTCATCTGTTTGTGACAACTTTGTTCTTCAATGCCATGGCTTCACGGAGATTTTTCATCAAGGTTCTTAAGCAGCCAGGCCTGTGTTTTTTCACGATGTGGCAGATTTAGATATGATACCTGAGGGGACCTTATCAGCCATCCCGCATTCCATGGTGCTATTGGTGCCGCGGCTGCCATGGCGACCACATGGAGCACCAATCTGGGCCAGCGCACCCAGTGCTAAGCCAACTCCCGAGACAGATTGAATGTTTGAAAATTCTGGATTTACCTCATTTAAGTATATTTAAGTGGGAATTTTACTAGGGATTGAATGTGCCAAACTTGGGATTTACCATGATTTAACATGATTTAACCATGAAGCATAGAGATTTAACCGAAGAAACATGGATTCGGGTATATCTAAACATGGTTTTCGTGTACCCCGCAAATGGCACTTTTTTCCCAGGAACATGTCGATTGACCATTGGATCCTGTTCTCTGCAGAAGGTTGTATGGAAATCTATGGTACAGTGAACATCGGTAACCGCTGATTGTGGTTCATTATAGCGGTTTCCGATTTGGGTTCACAGCGGATCAATTGCAACCCCGAATATGATGGATTTGAGCTCAACCTGGTCATGAAATGTCATAAAAAATTGAATCTTGTAAATTTGTACCCCTAAAATCCCCTAAATGTCAGGAAAGTTGAGTTTCAGTCTCTGCAATGGGTAAGGACCTATGACCAACTACTCGAGATCTTTGCACTAGCGACCTGGCCCCAGGGACAGTTGGAATTCCGACCGCCCGCAGCATATTTGCAGTTCACCGGGTGCGTGCGGATTCCCTTTTTGGTCGCTGGTGCGAGCAAGGCCGAAGCTCCAACGGGTGATAACGGGTGGATCGAAAAATTCGAAAAGGTGGTGAAATGTGGATGTGGCTAAGCCGGCGAAGCGGCTAAACCATCATTTTCATACCCACAGCATAGTGCAAAACAGCAAACATATGCAAAACAATTGCAAGCAAATCATGTTGAGTGGGCAAAAGTATGAATACTGTATGTATGGATATATATATATAACCATATATATATATATATACATAAATATAATATTACAATATATATATACACATACATGTGCAAAATAGTGGAAGCACGTCTCGGCGTTGTCTCCCCGCGCCTCCCGGACCAGGACACCAGAAGCGGCGGGTTTCGACACACGATGGCCTCAGCCACGCCTCTGCTGAAACCAGAGGCGCAGAACGAATCTCAACACGATAGATGGCTATGGATCAATACCTATTAATATCATTTTTAGTGGGACGAACATCCATTTACCAGCTATTTTGATGTTCACCAGGGGTACAAGGTTTTGACACACTGCCAGATGGAAACTTGTGAATTCTCGAAAAGTGCAGATGTAACGGTATGATTACAGTACCGACTTGAGCCAGTGAATATGGTTGTATGTGCAAAAAAAACAACAAACATGGGGGTGATACAGTAATCAGTAAACTATATAGTAAAATGGAGTTTGAGAGAACAGGCAAAGTGAGATATGACCAATTGACAAGCGACAATGAGCTTCGACGGCAGAGACTTGGAATAGAACCCAAGAACCATCAAAAACCAGCAAAGATTTCAGCAGTTAGCCAGTGTCTTCATTGTAAAGTCATGATAAGATCAGGGATTTCCTTGGTAAATCAAACACCGTCAGAAAATACATGAAAATACCATCATGAAATTGGTAAAATCAGAACATGTCCACTACCATTTTACGATTGTTCCAGCATTTTTCCAGCACCTTTCCATGATAAAAGAATGGGAACATGTGAAAATCACAAGGGCAACATGGGTTCAACCTGAATGTTCCACCATATCTTCACCATTTCTCCACCATAAAATACCCGCGCGTCCCGCGCCAGAATGACGCACCGGCGAGTCCCGGATGCAAACTGGGCGTGCTCAGCGAGGGCTATAGCCCAGATGCCAAGCTCAGCAAAGGCGCGCAGCGGGTATGGGGATATAATGGGATGAAAAAGGGATATGAATGAATATGATATGATATATGATATATATATATATATTTGAAATAGTCGGATGGATTTACCATCTGGTAATTCAACAGTTTGCTACGGACATCTACGGACATTGCCATCGTTTTTGTAGAGGGTAAATCATCGGACTTCATGGGCGTTTTCTTTCATAGTTTCCAACTGTTAGAGTACCAAAGGGTAATGATGACCCAGCAAAATAATTGAATGGATTATCATCACTTAAGTATCACTTGGTGATTTGATCATTGATTCAATTTCGACAGAAAACATGGCCCCTCCGGGGCCAACAAATTATATACACCAAGTGATCAAATTACCAAGTGATACAAGTGATATTATGAAATTTATTTCCATAATTTCATATAATTTCCCCGTCAACATAAGATGATATATAATTTCACCAACAAACAATAGGAATCAAACAGTCTCGTGGGGTTTGTGGAGCAAAAACTTACCACACTGCGTGACAGGAGACCAGCGCGTGAGTATGGTACCGGAGGTTGCCGCATCCTTGATCAAGGACGGTGTCGTCGGTGTCGTTCGCTGGGAACATCATCGATTCGTACCCGGCCTGGTTATGACTAACGTAGCGAACTAGAAAGATCCACCATGTTTAATAGGTAAAGCACCTATAAATTGCCCATTTTCCACGGCTATGTTAAATAACCAGAGGGTAAATGGTTTCGTTTGCAGCCGCGTTTGATGACCCCGGAGGGTACCTTGAGAGAACTGGCAGCCATAAAGAGCATCAAAAAACGGGCGGGTTTGGGACTCATGGGGATTTGTTGGAGCTGTTAGGAGCCATGGTTGCATGGATGGTGAGGTTGTAAAGCACTGGACTTTAGATATTTTAGATGATCGCCCATTATCGGACAAAGCCACAAGGACATAGTTTGTCTGGCATTTTTTCAGGGTCGCATCACAAAATGTTGACTTCTTGAAATAAAACAAAGTCAACAGTTATGTTTGTACCGCTTGGTCGAACACTTTTTTCCCCACCAGATCCATGGAGCAAAGGAAAGGGACCAGGGGCAGCTCAGACCAGCTGAAAACAGATGACACAACTCAGTCTGCAGGTTTTTTTTCCAAGTCGTTGATGTAAGAAACATGGAGAGACTATGTCGCACACGCATGCACACATGAGAATGGGATACATTGTGATACTCCAGCTCAGCAGTAGAAAATCCTCAGATGGGGGTGGCTTTGGTTCATTATCTACCAAACACCTAAATTTTCATTCTTTCAGACAAACCCAGACGGTTCAGAATTTTCCTGCTAATTATTCATCATACCCCTGGGTAATAAAACATGGCGACGGACATTTCAACATATTTCAACATTTCACAGGATTTTTCCAGCTGTAAACCTCCATTGATTTCCTTAAAAGAAATAAATTTCCTTCATGGATAGATGATGATTTTTCAGCTACAAACCTCCAGCTATAAACCTACATTTAGTGTAAAAACATGTATATCATAGATAATTGGATCATTTCCGGGCCATGGAGTTGATCAACAAAAAATTGACATAAGTTACTAAAATGGATGCCATTTGACATCGCTTCTGTTTATTTTACTAAGACTCCATAGGGATTTCATGGAACATTGGGGGTTTTCATGGATTTTCTATGGGATCTACAAGCTGTCGGACAGGTTTTGAACCCATTTGGCACCCTGTTTTCATCCCAGTAGATCCATTTGTGTGTTTTCTCTGAAAATAGGACACCCCCCCAAGATTTGGTGGATTATCATGATTTCCCCATATTTTCCCTATAAAAACGGCTACTTTTATGTGGAGAAAAAACAATTTTCAAGAGAAACCCACTGATTGTGCCGCAAGAAAATTCACATCACGTGACCGACTGATGGCCCAGGACGGCTATGCAGTCTTCGTGGAGCGAGGTGCAATCCGAGTTCATGACGGTCCCTTTTCATTTCATGAGACACCAGAAATGATTCATGGGGATATAATATACTGTATTTAATTAATGTTACCCTCTGGTTATTTATATAACAGTTTGCCATGGAAAATCATGGAAAATCATCATTTTTTATAGGTAAACAATCTATTTCTATGGGCCATTTTCCATGGCTATGTTAAATAACCAGAGGGTAATTGGTTGGGTGAGAAGAAGTTGGATGTATAATATTGGGATGACACTAGAGTTAGCCCAAAAGATGAACATACCTTGGACCTGGAAAAATGGGGGAAAACATCATCGAACTACCACCATCGATACCAGTCGGGCTATACCTAATCATCAATATATATATATATAATACTATGCGTGCGCAGTATAAATACACATACATATACATATACATTCACATTTACATCTACATTTACATATAAATATACGTATACATGCACATGCACATGCACATGCACATGCACATGCACATGCACATGCACATGCACATGCACATGCACATGCACATGCATCCATCCATCCATCCATCCATCCATCCATCCATCCATATAGATGGGCTTGTCTGAACCTGGGGAATACTGTAAAATCGGCACTTAGTAGGGAAAATGATGATAAACCTGATTTTTGGGCAGCTTGTTCTCAGAAACATATGGGAAACCACTATGTGCGAACCCCAATTTCAAGAAACACCCAATTTAATGGGTCTGGAATGTCTTTTTGAGTCAATGAAGCAATTCTCAGTGGAAGTTTCAAGGATTCAAATTTTTGGTTCTATTGGGGGATCCCCCAAGTTATGGTTCAGCACTAAAAAGAAGCCGCCTCGTGTGGGTCTATCATACCCTGTTAGGTTCCACCTTAATTAAGTTTCAATGGCGAACAAGTTGCCACCACAAAAATCAACAAGTTTGGTGGTCGAGGCGCTGAGGCACCTACTTGGAATTTCTGAACGTCACAAAATAACCCCGCTCAAATATCAGATATTCTTCTGAAGGCGATCAACAATATGATTCTCGATATTGTTGATCACCTTCGATGAACGAATCACATTCTAAAAATCATTTGGATGTTCAATATGTGAATCACTACTTCATCAATTTGGCATTGTTCAAAAATCCAACAAAAAGTGATCAACGGACGCTCTTAATCCATTTTCCATTATCACCCCATAGAGATTTATTCGGTTTGTCTAAAAATGGTGTGTCCCACTTCATCCATTGAATTCTCTGAAAACAATTTCCCACAAAGATTCATCCATGTTCATCCATTTCATACAGAATTTTCCATCCAGACATTTCCATCATCCCATAGTCATTGGATTCGTTTGTTTGGGAACATCTACACCGGAAACCCATGGGTTTTTACCATGAAAAAAATCCGGATCTTTCCGGTTCCAATTTTCCCCAACAAACCAGCCCAGTTTTCGATAGACCTCTCCTCCAGTGGAGGCGCCGGAGTCTTTGCGGGCTACTCCGACGAGGCCTACGAACAAAAGGGCTGCACTGTGACGTCGCGCGGGGACACCATCGACAAGTCCGAGGCCCTCGGAGCGGATGGCGGATGGCGGATGACGATCCGGCCATTGAAGGGTGGTTTAGATATATGTAATGAATAGCATAGAATATTATAGAATAGATAGTATCTAATTTGAATAGTATAGAATATTATAATATATCTGTTACAGTATAGAATAGTATAGATATATATTATAGATATGATCTAATTTGATATGTTTGATATTGTTTGATAATTAGCTACAAATCCTATCCATAGTTGTATGAATTTTTGATATGGATAGGTGGTCGATGTTTTTTTTCTGGTTTTGAAGGATGATGGGACTAGCGGTTGCTTCACATTGCTTCTGGCAAAAGAGTACAGACGACGGCGTTTTTTCGACGTCACAAGTCACTGGCCGTTGATTATGGTTGATTTATGAGGCTATCATGGAGTATCATCAAACTATCAGTTCCCCCATTATGCACTATGGGGTATCATCGCAAAATCACCGAACTTTTCATTTAGAATTTTGGGCAGATGGTACCATCCACTATTAACTATCATGGAATTTTCAAGTGACTGAACTGTTCAGGACGATAGATGGATGGATGTTTGGGCGATGACCTCGCAGGTGCTCTTTGCCCTGGAACCACCGGTGGCAGACTTTCAGACCATGAACTGCAAGGTGGAGCTGGAGTTCTGATGGGACTGATATATATATATATACATACATGTATGTATCTTTGTAGTTTGTATATGATACTGTATATATAAATATATAAATATATTATACATATATAATTACATGGGGGATGCGTGAGCACCAACGAGACCATCGGAAGATTTACTGCCCAGCAGCTGGTTCATCCAACGAGGAAACCAATGCCTTTGAACCGCATTTGTCAGGGTGGTGCCACGCTCAAATTTCACTTGTCATGATCGAAATTTTGATTTGTCTGAAATTGGAGACCCCTTCAAATTTAATTCTCATAATCTTCATCTTCCCGACTGAAACCACCATTCTTGGGATATCCATCATTTTTCGACAAATCCTAGTTTTTGTTTGGTGTTCACAAAGCCTGAACAAACCTTGTAAGCCGTCATTCTTACTCACCTCCTGTTTGTGTGTCTGTGTGTGGTTCAAAATTTCAAAATGCTTGCCCTTGTCAAACTCAATGGATGGTTGAGTAGTAAATAGTGATCAACATTTATTGGTCCATTTTGGTACATCATTCTTGTTGGTCCTCAATGGGTTGTTTTTTTTTAAAATATTTTTCGGTTCACAGCTGTGCAGGTGTTGATTTCCTGGGTCGGACGCTTGCAAGACAAGGGAAAAGAGATCATCATGAAGGCGGGAAATGACGGTTTCACGGTCCCAGATGGCCCCAGATGGTCCCAGGAAGCGTGGATCCAAGTGGTTTTTGTCAGGAGGATTGATGACTATCTGACCATCTATGATTATCTATGATGGTGAGTATATACTTCATATTGACATATATTGACTATTTATGACTTCTGACTTACAGGGCTAGAAAGTGATGAAGCTCAAAGCTTCAGGGATGAAAACCTTGGAAGATCTCAACGGTTTGGGCCCATCCCTGGTCCTCATGTTGGTTCAAGGTCCCCAAAGCGACCCAAATATCTTTGCCAGTTGGAAACAACTCAATCCCCCAAATCCCCCTGTTTGGTTGGGACTTGGGGAAATTCCACTCGTCAGCTGCCATGGCGATGGCGACAAGGGGCCATTCCGAGAAATTTTCAGCACTTCACATCCAGAACCGCCATAACCAGATGTATCTACCCCCTGGTTATTTAACATAGCCATGGAAAATGGCCCATAAAAAGATGGTTTACCTATTAAAAATGATGGATCTTTCCATGGCTATGTTAGTCATAACCCGATGGTATCTGGGAAAAAAGTTTCAACCGAGCCAGTGAAGCAGATCATTTTGAGGTGGTCCCCCTCAGCAATGTTCCCCTGAATTCTCATCCAACTTATCCTGCTAGTGCTGATGATGATTAATGATTCCCCAATTGATCGGTTAAGCCATAGGGGTCCCCCCAAAAAGATGCCGAACGGTTTTTTCCAGGATGTCATATGATGATAGATAATGATAGAATGATAGATACCTTTGATTGATCATGCCGAACCGTTTCTATCTAACCTGTTTCTATTTGCGGATTGCCATGAAAATGTGGTAAACCCATGTAAACCCACTAATACACCATTCCCAATATTACCCTAAATGCCTGGTGAAGCTCATCCTCAAATCCTAGGTTTATTGATGTTTATTGGTGGCTTTCCTACATTTTCCCAAAGAGATCATCATTATAATTGGCATTCAATTACCATTCATCATTAGCAGTTGCCCAATGGGATATATATAATTACCATTAACATTATATATAATTGTTATATAATTAGCAGTTCCCCAACAGTCATCAACTAGTTAGATCTTCTCATCATAACCATCCCCCCCGCGCTGAAATCATGCGCTTTTTTCGACGAGTGCCAGGCCAATCAGTACCGCATCACCGTGGTGGACGTGACGGCCGTGCCGCGCATCACCATCGCGCAGAAGTTGGACGTGCTGAGCTCGCAGGCGAAGGTGGCCGGACATCGTGCAGTGCTGGAGGCTAATGGGGATGGGGCCCAGCCGGGGATGGGGATGGGATGTGGGAGATTTACCATCCCATAGTTATGTGGTAAATCTATGGAAAATCTATGTGGGTAAATTTACCATGAAGAAATTTCATGAAATTTCCCCAAGTTATGACTAAGTTATGACTCCATTTTTGGGAGTGAACAAAAAATGGCAGGTGTTACACCACTGCTGGACATAGCGATAGGTCAACATCACCATTTTCATAGGTAAAAACCATGGTAAATCATTTCTCACTAGCCATGGGCCATGGCGCCCATCGAGGCGGCTTACTCCTATCAGCGCTTTCATACTGCCGAGATGACGGCTGCAGGCTGGCGATCTGAACCCAGAAAACCTGAGTTACCCGGGCAATCCCTGGAATATTTCGTGGGTTTAATAGGATTTAATAGGCTTCAATGGTAGATTAATGGGATTTTCCAAGATGTTACAACCAATACCCTCTGGTAATTTAACAGCTTGCTATGGAAGATGGCCTATTCAGTTCGATGATGTGCCTTTTAAGATGGCAATTTTCCATAGCTATGTTATCACGGACAGCTTCTCGGTCTCAGCAGGCACAGCAGCAGCAGTGCCGTACTGTCCAGCAGTCTGAACCTAGATTGGCCGGGCCACGTCGGCAGTGCGACGAATGGCCCTGGAACTGGTGAAATCTCCAAGCAAAGCCTGGCAACGTGCAATGTCTCCGCAAGAGAGGCGAATAAAGATTCCCCCAACAGGCTTGTACACTCTGAGATCCACTTTGCTCAATTTCGAAAACAACACGCTAGGACCTTCCAAACAAAACCCCACAAACCAAACCAAAGCCCGACGAATGTATCGCATGACATAAGCCAAAGTGGGTCTCTCAAATCGGGAATCCAAAGTGCAAAGTTCGGTCAAACCACCGCCTGCATTCTGAAAAGGAAACATGAAACGGAAGTCCCTAACCAACCAAATAGACAACTCCTCAAAACTCAGTGGATAGACCCCTGAGGCCTCATCCACATGACTGGCAAGGTGGTCAACCAAAGCAAAAATAAAATCAGCCGGCAAGTCCACAGGCCGACTATCGGAGCTGCAAATCAAATCCCTGGCATCAGGATTGTACAAATCGCCAAAAGAGGGCTGCAACTCATCGACAAAACCAAACAGTGAAACGTCATGGCTCTCAGATGGCTCAGTTAGAACTTCGGGCCCGTTGGCCGCAACTTTGAAATAGAACGCCTGCAGCTGCCGCATGCGTGCTGCGCTCTGCTCAAAGTGAAAGTTCATGTCATCACGAAGACGGAGGAACTCCCTTGGACGGCAGAAATTGTACTGCCCAATGGCAAAATCAATTCTATCATTCCAGCATATAACCCAGTCTTCAAATGGATCCTGCAACTTCGTCTCGTCCAAATGACTGGGAACCCAATGTGGCTCAAGTTCAAGCTGTCCAAGTTGTTGCAGCAACAGATGGATATAATCCCAAATCCCCAGACCGGAGAATATGAGAAATACCATCGGCTACATATCTTGAATCCGTCCACAGGTGCATGCTGACCTCGAAGTGAATCTGCCATTGAATGGCGCTCCAAGCCGCCATCAATTCTGCCCGGTCGCTCGATTGGTTGAGCCCTGGCACGTGTCCCATCGCAACTACCTCTCCAGTAGTCGCATTCAGGCACCCCCAGGCCGCTATCTTAGCCGGCTGGGTAGCCGCAGTGGCCGTACCATCAGTGAAGATGTGTTGAACCCCAGTTGATGGCTGGGAGGTAAAACAACTCGTAGTATCTGAAAGGAGAAGCAATGCCCTCTTCCAAGCAGCCACAAATGGTGACCTTGATGGCAACAAGTGTGAACAAAGTGCTTGTGAATCACATGGATGCTGATCCTGCCAACCTGCAATGTCTGCACGTATATTGGCAAATCTGGGACATCCCAACCAATGTTGGTTGGTGTCTGGTACTCCGCATAGAGCACAGGTCCCCTGCTTGGTCAAATCATAGTGTGCCTGCGCGGCCTGGTTCATGAAGGCCCCAGACTGCAACGCTCCCATCGGTGCCTGCTCGAGGCTAGTCAGATTTTTTGAAACAAAGCTCAAAAGATGCGGGTCCAGCCCCTGCAAGTCACGCATCGTCTTCCGAGAAGCCACTTGGCAAGCAACATGCTGGAGCCAAGCATCCCAAAGTGTTGTGATCAGCAGTGAAGCATCCACAGTCATCAAGTTGAGATGACATTGGTCATGGTCAATCAAATAAGGGGGTTCAACCCTCCATCCAATCTGCCCTAAAACCACCAAAAGTTGCGAAAAGGGGCCACTAAAAAGAAAACCATCGAAATTCCACATGAAACTTTTTTCCATTCATTCAGCAGCCTGGGTTCTTTGCGCAGCAGCCGAGCAAAAGAGCTAACTGTATGCTGCAAACGCCACCAGCTAGGGTCTGCAGTGGGAGTCGAGGACAAAGTTAGACGAAGAAGGCCGTTGACCCCCGCATGTGAAAGTCGCAAGGCCTTCAAAGCTTGGGACCGCAACTTGTCCAAGTGACTTTCACCCATGCATGATCCAGTGATACCATGTAATGCAGCTGACCAGAAAACCATGGGCACGGCAGCTAACTTCTGTCGCATTGGCGCTCGACTGGTTTTCAAACGTTGCCATTTGCCATGCAGTTTGCTGATCCTCTTCTGCTGGAGTCCAGTGAATCGCCTTCGAGTGAACGAAAGCGCACCTCCCAGCTCCATTGCACTTTCCACCTTTTGAAAAGGAAGGATGGCCAGTTGTTTACGCTGTCCAGAATTCAAAGCCCAGCAGTAGGATTTGCTGACATCAATAGCCATATTCCATAGCCGAAAGAACTCAATGACACATGCCAACCCAGTTGCAAGAAGTCCTGGTACCGAAGCCAGAAGGCTCAGGTTGTCTACGAAACTCAGTGCTCTAATTGACGGGCTGTACGCCCTCATATAGAGGTGCCACGCAAAAGACAACTGAACCATTCCAAAGACGCTCATCGCGTCTCCCTCTGGCAAACCGCAAGAGGAGGTCGTGCAAGAGCTCAAGTGCCCTCTGACATCGAAAGCTCGCGTACAATGATCCAAGAACAATCTCCATGGAACAGTGATACGTGCTGGAACTCCCAAATGCTCCGCCAAAGTTAATGAATGCTGGCGTGGTATAAAATTAAAGGCTTGAGTCAAATCTGTGCTGAGGCCGCACAAATCACCGTGGACTTGAAGTGTCCGTTCAATCTCTGCCTGCAAAACCAACCAGAGCTGCGATGGTTCGCACCCCGGCATGAAGCCAAATGCCTCCACATCCATCTTCGGCGTCAGCCAACGAAGCAACTGTTTGGAACGGACCCGAGCCCAAGTGCGATAGATCACACTGAAAATGACCACAGGCCTAAATCTATCAACCGTTGAGGCGCCTTCGTTCTTCGCCAGGACATTGACGACCCCATACAAAATTGCTGTGGGCCAATTGGTGCGCCCAAGCTCAATGTCATGAAGCATGGCTAGCAATCTTTCGGTCCAAGCCAGCGGAAGAGAAAGAAGATCTCGATGGGAGATCCCATCAACGCCACGAGCAGCACTAGGCTTGTATCGCTTCAAGGCTCGATACCACTGTTCAGGCTGTATGGGTCCAAGATCCACCTGAAACTTAGGCACGTAAGCTTGGAAAAAGCTCGTGACACGCTGCCATGTGTGAGAATCCACAGTTGACATCGCTTGCCACGTAGGGGTCCAGTACTCCAGCAACTCGGCATGAAGTGAGTTGGTGTCTGCAAGAGAGCAAAATTGCTCCACAAGATCGCCTTGTTCAAACAAAGAAGCATCCGGCACTTGAATCACCACATCATTGATGATGTCAGGCTGAAACGTAACATCTCCAGCCATCCACTTGGAGAACCCTTTGGAGACCACCGGTGCATCCAAGTGAAGTTGACCACTATCAACATCAACAGCCAAAACAGAAAAGGAGGTCTTCTGATGAAGCAAGTCCAATCTGTCTCTGTTTGGTGGCTTCAGGTCTTGGAAAATGCCTTGCATGCCCTTCTCGTATTTTTTGAGCAGTAATTTGCCTCTTTGTCGCAGGTGCCAAGCTTCGTATTTCTCAAAGTTGAGCTTAAAGTCTGCAAAAACAGCTTCAGCAACTTCAAGTCCGGGAGGTGAACGTGGAAAGCAAGATGGTGTATGGGGTAGGGCATGAGCCCGATGATGGCGCCACAAGATAGAGAAGCCCTGCTTGAAACCAGGAGAACGTAAAACAGCCGCCCAAAGTTCCAGTCGATAGGCAAGTGCGGCTGGTGTCTGTTTGCCAGCCCTCACTGCCGCTACATAGCTTTGCAGCCGTCGTAGTTGGCGAAACCAATGGCGGACTTCACTGCCAATGAGGTCATTTCGAAGAACAACTTCACTTGGTCGGCTGGGTTTGAGCACTGGTGCTGAAGTTCTCCGCCGTATCGGCTGAGTTTGCTGGAGCCTGCCCTTCTGATGGCCCTGAAGCCCATGGCCCGGAGCATTTGGAAGATGCCCTTGAAGACTATCCTCAAAAGAAGTTGCCCATTCGGCCCATTGTTGGTTTACATTTGCATGCAAAGTCCAATCAGGAGGCGCCCCAGTTGAAGTCCATTGGGCGTCAACTTCCGTCCAAGGAATCACCGAGGGCTTGGGCCATGACAACATTCTGGGGTTTGATGTGGGAATGCACAAACCCACAGTGATGGTGGAGTGTTCCGCAAAGACATCAGCCACATCAACCATCTGACATAATGCCGCCGCTTCAGGTGAAAGCCAAACAAGGTCACGTTCAGTAGCATGTTTACACGTGAACTGTGGCTCTTGACCCCAAAGACGTTCAGCAAGTTCTTGTGCTGAGATCCAGCCAAGCTGACGCCAGTAGTTGAAAAGAGGAATCCCCCAAGCATCCGTGTTGAAGTCGCCCCCAATCAGTCGAGGCCCAGTCCCGCCCAAAATGATCTCGGTGGTTGCGATCTGGAGGAGCTCTTCTGTGAGCCGCAAGGCATTAGGCCAAGTAGGACCTTTGGGAAATCCATAGATGACCATGTTGGTGACGGCCGTCTGGCCAATCATGTGCCTTGTGGTGAGCATCCGGCCACAGTCACGTTCATTGATGTAGGGCAGTGACAACTCCTGAGACGGAAAGTCCGAGATTGTTGAAACTCCAGACCAAGTTCCAGCCCATGTAGAGGTCGTTCGGGTCGCAACTGGGGCGCCCATATGGACTCGAAGGAGTCGATTCTGATTTCTGGCTTGCTGTCGAAGAAGAGCAGCACAAGTCTTCTGGGTCTGCAATGACAGCTGGGATTCTGAAAATGACCATACTCCGGCCCCCAGTGCAATAGCCGTAGCTTCTTTCTGACGAAGCCCTGATGGGTTGGAAAATCCAAAAAGATGGCAGTCCGATGATGGACCAGGATGAAGAGCTTCTCCCCAGCGAAACACCGGCTGAAGAGGGTCACCCCCAAAATCCAAAGGGTCGAGGTGTGAGTGGCCAAGTTTGGCAAAGTCCAAGTCAGAGACAACACAAGCAGCAGCCGTGCAAAGATGCGAAAAGACAAAGAGAATCCAATAGAGAAGGCGGATGCGAGAGAGTGAAGGTCCAAATCCAAAGAGTCCTGGCGCCCTAAATCCAAAGGGCCCAGGCGGACCTAGTCAATCGTTGCGCTGACGTTTGCTCAGCAGTGCTTCCAGTCGATCCATCTGGGAGGTGACTGCCGAGGTGACCTCCGCCGTGATGTCACCCTTGATGTTGCCCAAGGAGAGTTGCATTGCTTGGTGCAACGAGTCAGCGGAAGTATGAACTTCCGTGCGCACTGTCTGAAGGTCCGTTTGGTTTTGTTGTACTGCTGCATGTAGATGCGTCAGCTGCTCATCTTGCTTTGCCAATCTAGTGCCCGTCTCCTGGAACCAAGTGTGGAACTGAGATTGGTGTGCCTTCATCTCCACAATGTCAGATTCCAGTCGACAAACACGCTGGGCATCCTGAGAGGATTGGTCCTGAGAATGCTTTTCTGCCCATTTTTTCTGCAGAGTTTCATGAAGGTCAGTTTTCAACTGGTCAGCCAGTTTCTCATAGCGTTTGGCAGGGGCTGGTGTTGGATGACCCGTGCCATGCCAGTTGCCCCCAGGATCTTGTCCAGGAGATTCCCATGGGTCAGTCATTGGAGGTGCCGTACTCGTGGAAGAGGATGCATGGGAAGCTTTTCCACTTCCGTACGGTCTTTGATAAGAGAGATCAAAACATCTCTCTGGAAGGCTGGCATGATGTTGTCAGGCGGCTCAATGGCTGCACCAACTTCCCAGGAGCTGCCCTCCGCCGATCCACGGGCTGGCTGCAGCGGCTTGGCTTGCCACTTCCACTCACGCAGCAATTGGGAGACTTGAAGTCGTTGAAGTCCATGAGGGAGAGGGTGAAGCCGATAGATCTTAGTGACTGCTACCTTCATAAACTCTTCATTGGGACGAAGCTCTCTGAAAGCTGCTTCTTCGTAGGTTGAGAGCACACGAATTCCAAATCTGTGCTTCAGCCGTACCAGCGAAAGTCCATGACTGGTGAGCTTGAGTCGGTGACAAGCAGTGTCACGATTTGCCCCAGGTAGCCAAATCACTGAGTAGTCCTCATCAGTAGCACGTGCACCAGAAGCGCGCGGCTCCATGTAGACACCTTCAATAGAAACTTTCAGCAGATCTTCCAAAGCAGGAGTAGCCACCCGCAGAAAAACCAAGAATTGTTCTGCTGATTGGGCTGGTAAGGACTTACCTTCCAAGGATTGAAACCTGCGACCCCATAGGTCCAGCACCACTTGGTCTATGCTGTCTTCAACAGCTGCATGAAAATGTCCACATCTATGGTTGCAAGTGACCGAGGTGCAAAGCTTGAAGAGAGGAACCAACCGGAACAGTTGCCGAATAGGGAAGCTTGCCACATCCTCCCAGCTTGTGCCCAGCTCGTCTCTGAAAAGCTGTATCTTCAGCACATTCGTTGCTGCCAGATCCATGCTGGTGGCTGGATCTTGAACTTGTTGACGAGAAATTTCATGATCGCCAAGTTGGAGAAGACAACCATTGATCAGCAATGGATCCTGAGTTGGCAAGTATGTCGCCGGAAATCTAATAGAGATCACGTTGGCCTGGGCTTTCAGATTGCTGGGAACCTCTTCAGTGATAAGGAGGCCCAAAGCATCCGCAGAGATGTTCTTCTTCTCCCTGAGGTAAGGCAAGGCTTCCGTGAGAGTGGCAATGGCAAGGCCTCTGGAGTCGGCAGTGACTTGGTTGAGAGGAATTTGCTCCACTTGGTCACCCTCATCATCGATGAAATGAGCAGGATCAAGTTGCAAGGTTGATGGATCAGGTGCCAAAGGCAGTGATGTGTTGGATTTGCCTGGCTTCTTGTCACGCTTTTTCTGAGTGGAAATCTGGGCCCCATGCTTGGTCGCAGCTTTGGCATCAATGAAGTCCATGAGCTCAGATTTGATAACGTACTGAAAGTTGTTGCCTGGTTTCGTAGTCAACGCTTTGAGAGCTTGCCAAGGATTCACATGAGCCAAAGCTCCTTGAATGGCCGGAGCACTCAACTTCTGTATGGCGGCAGCAGCTCTGTCTGCGGCAACGGCCGACGGAACTCCCTTGGTGGCTAGCAAAGCAGCCAATTGAGCTTGAGCATCCACCGTCAGAGGCCCTGATCCATAAATCCAAGGATCAGTGAGGTTCAGGCCCAGTGCAGGTCGGCGCAGGAGCCAGGAGTGAAAGTCCAAGACCGTGGCTCGAGAAGGAAGTCCAAAAAGTCCAAGACGGGCACCGACATGAAGTAAAGCAACTGTGCCACAAGTGTGATCATCCTGTTGGAAGAAAAGGTGGCCTGGGTCGATGGACCAGTTCAGGGAGAGCTCTTCAGAGATCCGTGCTGCCAATCTCATTGCCGCAGTGTTGACTCTTCCAGGAAGACCATCACAGTAAAGCCATTGAATGGAGTCGACATGAAGCTGACCCCAAAGAAGAGCCCAGTGCGATTGAGCCGGAAAGACACAGATGATCCTGTCATCCGACTTCGAAAAAGCAGCACCTAAGTTGCAGTCGACATAGGAGTCCACAAGAAGAAGCAAAGCCTCTCTGGGTTTGATGATCATGGGCTTGAGATGACTGTTGAAAGTGCCAAGCATGACTTGCAAGACCCAAGTAATGTGTCCATCATGGAGTCCTTGTGAGACATCGTGGCCTGCAGCTTGGAGTGACCGTGTCGGCGGCCAATTCGGCAAAGTCGTCAAGTTCATAGGTTTCCAGACTCGAAAGTCAGCACCATAGACTCTGCCATCACGATCCACCAAGAAGTTGACAAGCTGGATGTCCATGTCACGCAAAGCTTCAAACAGAAATTGGCCAGCATTCAACAGGACCATCTCAAAAACACCTTGATGTGTGATGCCCACTGCAAAGACTGAGGAGGGTCTTGGACGATGTTGATCACCAGTTTGAAGATCAAATCTATAGGGTTGACTCATCTGTTTGAGCAGCATGCGCAACGACAGTTGCTGTCCATCCATGGAAATGCCTCCAGCCTCGTTTCACCCAAGGCATATCCTCTGAGCATCAAGCAGCTGGGCAACGGTGCAGGCAACTGGACAATGAATGGCCAAGGCAGACCCATCGGAGTCATGAAGTTGAAGCACCTGAGGAAGCTGCTCTGCCTGATGAAAGAGGTCTTGGGTTTGACGAAGCAGCTCACGTTGATATGCCCTCAGCCATTCCAGAGGAGATGGTACAGGAGCAAGATCTCGAGCCTGGGCTACATTGTTCCGAAGATGGGCGTAAATCCAGACCATTTGGAGTGGCGAGGCCACCAGTCCCAATAAGGCCAGGTGCTCACGTGGCCGAAAAGGATACTGCACAGAGTTGGGAAGACCGAGCAAAAGTCCAAGCTCTCGAGGATGGAGATATCGTGGATTATGATGGACTCTGGACTGGACAAAGCAGCCACGTAGGCCTTTTCGTTCCAGGGATTGGCGACTGAACCCAGACTGTCGGCAGTTGCAAGGACACGACATGGGGGCGTTTCCGTATGAATGGAGAAACGTGTTCGCCACGTCAGAAAAGTCCAACAGCCTTTTGTCACTTCCAAACTCAGGATTGGAATAGGCCAAGAACTCATATTCAAACAGCTGCAAGTCTGTCTCCTCTTCATCCGTCCAGTGACCCCAACATTTGAAAATGTCACCCACAACATTGTATGGACTGGTGGTTGGCCAAGGATGCAACCCATACGAGTTCCATTCTTTGGGTAAGAGAAGCGCCCACCACCTCTGACGCCGACATGGCCATTGCGCCTGGAGATCCAAAGTCAAAGTGAGCACCACCCAATCCATCGCCAGTGCAAGAGCTTGGATGCCCTCTTGAATCTCCATGTTGCACCCAGCCGCAGCCACACATTCAAGTATGGCGGATTGAGGATGCATCATGAAAATGATTTGGAGGCCCTTCCAAAACGTGCAAAACCTGAAATCACTACTTCCTCTTTGCAACCCTTGGCTGGAAAAGGGTTGACATGGAAAACCAAAGGCAACGGTCCCTGGGGACCCTCCGAACTCTTGATGGATGATCTTCGCGCAATCAACATCCATGAGATCCATCTGCAACACTTGACCATGTCCATTGGCATTCAAATGGTTACATGCCAAACCATTAAAATCCACAGACATCTTTGGGATACCACCTAAAAAAGAGGCTCCAATCCCCATGCCATCCATTCCAGCGCATAATTCCAGCAGCAAAGGAGAAAGATCACGTGATGATTCATCAAGACTGCACCACCACGAGGACTCAAGTGCCTTGAGGTAAATGAAGTCATCCTGGCCAACCTTCTGGTAGCCGTAAATGGACACCATGCCCAAAGGGAGCAACTGATCCAAAATCAAAACAGGCGTACAACATGGGACCCTTTGTCCGATTGACGTGCCGTCTGCATGAGAAGTGATGTGCAGCTTCCCAACAAAGAGGAAATCATCATGAGATGAACCAAAGATATGGGGAGCCATGGGAACACGAAAAGAGGACTCGAGCGTTGGTAGAACCGGGTTAACCACTGAGAGGCCTCGGGCCGAAACCTTTTCCATAGCTATGTTAAATTACCACAGGGTAAGTAGTTTCGCCACACAGTTTAGTTTTATCACATTTTATAACCAGTAACCCAACCAGCATCTCCAAAGTGTTATGATGGATACTTCACGATTTCTCATTTCGGTGAAGTGTTCTATAGAATGATTATGGACACGCGTATCCTCCCACCATCCGATTCATGCACAATATATAGTTATCATATGTATTTCATATGTGAGAATTTTTGTAGAGAGATATCACAAGAAAAGAACACATATCACAGGTATAGAAACCACATAGATACCGTAAAATCACATTTATATGTTAATATAAATAACATCACACAATATCACACACACACATATGTGTCACACACACAGATATATATATATAATCATATATATATATACGTCTGGGGCTCAGTTTTCGACTGTTTGTTCCGCAGTTATGGCAGCTATGGCATGATCAACCTTTTCTGAATTTAAATGCATAGGCCGCAGCATAAAGCATCTTCGTGCCTGGTTGGAAAAATATGTACATATATATATACATATAGAGTTCTAATATGTTATATGTTATTATACATATATACATATGCATACAAATATATATATATATATACATACAGCATATCATCATATATCACCTATATACATCAACCAATCATCAGTTCAGATCCAACGAATCTTCGGCCTCGGCTAAGGCAAATATCCCCCGGCGCAGACCTTCGTCCTGGGCTGCGGCGTGGCCGGGCTTTCGGCCATCGGCACCTCCAAAGCCATGGGCTCCGTGGTGCGCGCCTGGGACGTGCGCGACGTCAGCGACCAGGCACCGCACCGGTGGCACCGGTTGGGAGATCTGGAACTCTATCAGAAAAAGTTGGGGATGTTGGGGCATTGAGGGATATAATAATCCCTTCATCCTAATACTAACCCCCCCTAATAATAAACACGGCAGGTCATTTTTAGTATTTGGGGGGTATTTAGTATTAGGGAAGCCTAATACTAAATTAAAACCCTTAATATTAAAAACTAGTTTTTCCGATCTCAAAATCAATTAAATTTCTTTATATAACGCAATTAAAATATTGCCAAGAATTGGATTTCTAAGCTTCCCCCTAATATTAAATTAAACCCTTAATAATAAAAACTATTTTTTCCGATTTCAAAATCAATTAAATTTCTTTATATAACGCAATTAAAATATTTTCAAAAATTGGATTTCGAAGCTTCCCCCTAATACTAAATTAAAACCCTTAATAATACAAACTATTTTTTCCGATCTCAAAATCAATTAAACTTCTTTATATAACGCAATTAAAATATTTTCAAAAATTGGATTTCGAAGCTTCCCCCTAATACTAAATTAAAACCCTTAATAATAACAACTATTTTTTCCGATCTCAAAATCAATTAAATTTCTTTATATAACGCAATTAAAATATTGCCAAAAATTAGATTTCGAAGCTTCCCCCTAATACTAAATTAAAACCCTTCATAATAAAAACTAGTTTTTCTGATCTCAAAATCAATTAAATTTCTTTATATAACGCAATTAAAATATTGCCAAAAATTGGATTTCGAAGCTTCCCCCTAATACTACAGGGCTCCCTATTTTGCCGGATTCAGCAAAAGTCAACATCACCATTTTTTAGAATCACTAACCCCTTTAGACTAATGTTGTTGTTGTTGTTGTTGTTATGTTGTTATGTTGTTATGTTGTTAAGTTGTTAAGTTGTTTGACTTTTCCAATGCGTTTTCTTGATGTGTGATGTGTTTCCCCTTTGCAAGCATCGATTCAGGTTGTTTTGGGTTCCGTGTGGGTTCCAGTCTCTCCAGTAGTTTGATATTTCCAGTGCGTTTTCTTGATGTGTGATGTGTTCCCCTTTGCAAGCATCGATTCAGGTTGTTTTGGGTTCCGTGTGGGTTCCAGTCTCTCCAGTAGTTTGATATTTCCAGTGCGTTTTCTTGATGTGTGATGTGTTCCCCTTTGCAAGCATCGATTCAGGTTGTTTTGGGTTCCGTGTGGGTTCCAGTCTCTCCAGTAGTTTGATATTTCCAGTGCGTTTTCTTGATGTGTGATGTGTTCCCCTTTGCAAGCATCGATTCAGGTTGTTTTGGGTTCCGTGTGGGTTCCAGTCTCTCCAGTAGTTTGATATTTCCAGTGCGTTTTCTTGATGTGTGATGTCGTTCCCCTTGCAAGCATCGATTCAGGTTGTTTGGGGTTCCTTGTGGGTTCCAGTCTCTCCAGTAGTTTGATATGTCCAGTGCGCTTTCTTGATGTGTGATGTGTTTCCCTTTGCAAGCATCGATTCAAGTTGTTTTGGATTCCGTGTGAGTTCCAGTCTCTCCAGTAGTTTGATTTTTCAGTGTGTTTTCTTAATGTGTGATGTGTTTCCCTTTGCAAGCATCGATTCGGGTTGTTTTGGGTTCCGTGTGGGTTCCAGTCTCTCCATTTTCTTGAAAGTGGGACTGAAGACGGATTATATATGATTATAGTTATATATATATATTTATAATTAATGTTGCTATTAACCAATCTTTGGACTTTAGGAGGGCTATTTTTTTTGGGAGCATATCAAACACCTCAAAAATGTAACATTCATTTTTCAGGTTGGGAAGTCGGACCTTGTGTTGTTCTATTCAAACCACCCAAAAAATGTAACATACAATTTTGAGGTTTATCTTTACAAATTTGATTTTTAATAAACTTGTTTTTCCAGCCTAAAAATGTAATGTAACATTTTTTTACGTTTACTTTATGATTTTGGGTAAAGCAACCTACATGTGGATATATGTGGTGTATAGCCAGGGTCCCAAAAACCCTGCATAGTGGCACTCCAAACATGTATGTTACATTTTTCACCCCCTGGGGGGTGGGTGATGATTTTTTAGATATATCATTTTTTCAGTTTGCCTTGCTGGTCGCCTGGCCCCGCTGTTTGGGTCATAAGGGAGGGGGCAGGTCAGCACATTAAATGTGGGGTTTGAATGCAGATCTTTGAAATTTTGATGGTCGCTCATGATGCTCACATCTCATGATTGTGATGGCTCCTCCGACGATTGGCCCTTGTCTGGATTCCCAGACCCGGACATCTTGGGAGTCTCGGATGATGAAGTTAGTCCTTATCTTGATTCTTATCTTGATTCTCATCTTGATTCTGTTCAAGAGCTATGTCATATGTGGGACAGGTTTCTGTAGAGTACAGGCAGACATGATCATATACATATATCCATGTATACATTTGCAGCTGCATATGTCATGTATTCATGTACATTACATTTATGTATTACATATTATATTATTATTTAAGATTTATGATCTTGTTTTAATGAGGTCTTACGGACATATAATAATATATGTCCGTAAGATCTTATTTACACAAAATCAGATCTTACGGGGTCGCATCAATTTTCGTTGTACCATACAAAATTTGGTATGGAAATCATTCTAAATATGATTCATTTTTTTCAGCTTATTATTCCTTGCAGAACCTGTTGTCATGAATTGTCAAGAAATCTTTGTGCTTCTTATTTAGACAGGTAGAAACAAGTCGGTTTACGGTTGGGTTGGCATCCATGGCATACGTAGCCTCTTCCCCCCATCCCGCACCCCCTGAGATGTTCTCTATTGGCAATGCCTTGAATCACAAATCACACATGTCTTTAAATTTTCTTGTTTTAGAAACATTATAAATTAATACAACCTTCCCCCAAGCGATTTGACATGGTTGATGTGTCCATGATGTGAAGGGGTCGCATCCACTTCCCCGCATAGGAATTTTGCTGCCCCAAAAAGTGTATGTGACTAAAGGCCTTCACTGTAAGTATATACCCTCTAGGTCCTCTACAGAGTATAGCTCTTGAACCAAGATCCTGTCAGGTACTGTGGTCTTCTACCTCATCACTCTTGAGGACAACGGCAAGTTCTTTTGACTTCTTCATCAACAGTTGGGATTTCCCAGATAGTGGAGTGGTATGTCGGTCATTGGTGATTTGGTTGAGAAACATTGGAATAAGATTGATTGATTGATTGCACTTGATTTGCATTCATTGGAAACATTGTCGGTCATTGCACTTGATTTAAATTCAGCTTTGATTGATTGATGATATCCATTTCAATCTTGGTTCAAGCCCACCTCGTGACTGAACCGTTTTTTTCCCATCAAGATGGATCGCACTGATGTGGAGGTTGTACGCAATGATGATTTTGGGATGACCATGACCGTTGGAATGGAGTGGACGGTTGCGGGGGTTCTCGAAGATGCGCTGATTGGATGTGCAGATGACAGATGCATCATTCAGCGGGTGAAGGTCTACAATTTTCGGCTGAATGGTAGATGCTTCAAGAACTTCAAGGCCAAGTTGGAGCAGAGAAGGAAGGCCATGAAGGGAATGAAGGCAAGGAAGGCCAAGAAGAAGGCAATGAAGGCCAATGAAAGAGATGAAGTCCATGAAGACCATGAATCCCCTGCAACCAATGACAATTTCAGCAATGAAGATTTCTTTGACTGGCTCGTGAACGACGACTGAGCCATGAAAGCGATGAAGGCCATGAAGGCCGATGAAGGCTATGAAACTTCCATTCAATAGCCCAAAGTGGCATCACATTGAGGCATGGCTATAAAAAGAGCGTCAGCAGTTGAGAAGATTGCCAACGTATGACATGTGAAGTGCACCCTCTAAAGTTGTTTTCACAAAACCCTTAATAATAAAAACTATTTTTTGCGATCTCAAAATCAATTAAATTTCTTTATATAACGTAATAAAAATATTGCCAAAAATTGGATTTCGAAGCTTCCCCCTAATACTAAATTAAAACCCTTAATAATACAAACTATTTTTTCCGATCTCAAAATCAATTAAATTTCTTTATATAACGCAATTAAAATATTGCCAAAAATTGGATTTCAAAGCTTCCCCCTAATACTAAATTAAAATTCTTAATAATAAAAACTATTTTTTCCGATCTCAAAATCAATTAAATTTCTTTATATAACGCAATTAAAATATTGCCAAAAATTGGATTTCGAAGCTTCCCCCTAATACTAAATTAAAACCCTTTACAATAAAAACTATTTTTTCCGATTTCAAAATCAATTAAATTTCTTTATATAACGCAATAAAAATATTGCCAAAAATTGGATTTCGAAGCTTCCCCCTAATACTAAATTAAAACCCTTAATAATACAAACTATTTTTTCCGATCTCAAAATCAATGAAATTTCTTTATATAACGCAATTAAAATATTTTCAAAAATTGGATTTCGAAGCTTCCCCCTAATACTAAATTAAAACCCTTAATAATAACAACTATTTTTTCCGATCTCAAAATCAATTAAATTTCTTTATATATAACGCAATTAAAATATTGCCAAAAATTGGATTTCGAAGCTTCCCCCTAATACTAAATTAAAACCCTTAATAATACAAACTATTTTTTCCGATCTCAAAATCAATGAAATTTCTTTATATAACGCAATTAAAATATTTCCAAAAATTAGATTTCGAAGCTTCCCCCTAATACTAAATTAAAACCCTTTATAATAAAAACTATTTTTTCTGATCTCAAAATCAAGTAAATTTCTTTATATAACGCAATTAAAATATTGCCAAAAATTAGATTTCGAAGCTTCCCCCTAATACTGAATTAAAACCCTTTATAATAAAAACTATTTTTTCTGATCTTAAAATCAATTAAATTTCTTTATATAACGCAATTAAAATATTGCCAAAAATTGGATTTCGAAGCTTCCTCCTAATACTAAACACCCCGGGGTTGATTAGTTTTTATTATTAGGGGGGGAACCCACAAATGGTAGGTTGATTTTTCAATTGTTTTTTAAAGGGGATCAATTCAAAATCAAATTGGCCAATCTGAAATTTTCAAAAATTGGAGATGGACACTAGTTTTTGTATTAGGAGGGGGTTTAGTGATAGGACAAGGGGATTATGGGAAAGAGCTGGGAGTTTGGAGGATTTGGGGTTGGCATTTTGGATGAACTATGGGGAATTTTTGATGGGAAATGTGGGAGAATTGACGTTGAATGTTGATTTCCATGATAAAACCATCTAAATATGAGCAGCAAAATGTGGGACAATCATTTGAGAACTTTTGGAACATAGATGATTTTATGGATGAAAGATTGAATTTAAGAGAGGATGCATGTAGGTTTGCTTATAATCTGGATATTGATAGAACCAAGTGGATATATAATATAAATATAAATATAAAATAATATATATATATTATATTATATCTTTAACCATACTTTAAGTTGTGCCCCATCTCCCAACAGATCAGGAGGTTTTTTTTGTGTCGACAGGTGCAGTCCATGGGTGCCAAGTGGGTGAGCGTTGATTTCAAGGAGAGTGGAGAGGGTGCTGGAGGTGGGAGAAATTCTCCGTTGAGGTGCCTAAAACCCATGGGAAGTGAAGAAAAATGCTACTGCGAAGTGGTTAGTTACCATGGCTGCCATGGCTGGTGAGCTATACTATATTTATATATATTTATATATATATATACATATTTATATATATATATATAAAGCATTATAAAGAAATTTACCAGTTTGGGATTTTCCGGGTTGCACAGTGTGAAATTACCAGAGGGTACCCTGTATACTCCACATCAGCGGCGTGACAAGTTGGTCGGAGTCCTCCTGCAGCTTGGTGCTTTTGATCTTCCGCACTGAGAGATACTGAGAGGGTTTTAAGAATTTTGACATAAGTTTGAAGTAGCCGACAAGTGGGAATAAATGTAAGCAACAAGCAGCAGTCTTTGCGGATGTTTATTTCATATTTGATATCACATGAAATCGCCACCCTATTTTGGATTATTTTGGCACATGCTTTGATGCCTGGCCTAGCGCCAGGTTACGCAAAGGAAAGTTCTGACGCCTTCAAGAAAGTCCAACAGGCGGGGGCCTTTTTTGGACAGGATCCACGCAATTTTTTGTCGAATCTGGCTAAATCAAATGGATTTCAAATTTTGAGAAACTGGACAATCTATGAATCTATGACAATCTGTAACTGGTGTCAATGTCCGAAGTCTCCCCATTCAAGTCCCTCAACAGAATCCCTTCAAAATTACCTAAACATCAAAGCCATTTTGACTGAAATCCGATGATTTTTCTCATGTTTTGAAGGTTTCTTTTTCACATACACCACATCTGATTTCCACCAAAAATCCTGGAATTCCCAGGTATTTCTCCATTTTTTCTAGCGCAGGAGACCTTCAAGAAGGTGCTCTCTGAGGTAGACATCGCGATCAGCACCGCCGCCATTCCGGGGAGGCGGCAGTTGAAGTTTTTTCGGCAACCCCCAAAATGGCCCCCAAACAGACCAAAGTTGGTAGAACTGGACGCTAAAATATTTCATAAGTGATGAAGAACTATACTGTTCTGCATCTTCTTTGATGAGGTTGTGGGATGATATGGGGTTAATGGTTATCAGCAGACGTCAGATGACATGATGACATGGATATGACTGGGATGAAGGTGGGATTTGATACTGTACCGTAGGATCTAAGGGTCTAGGGAGACTATTACTATTATGAAGATTGATAATTATCTAGTGATTAGGAGGGAGCTGAGGAGCTAGGAGCGGTATCCGTATATCCCTGTTAAATGGGGAGCCACAGAGCTACTAAGACTTTTTCAAGTGAACATTTGGAATAAGTGTCGGATTTTGGAATCTCCCGCCATTTTAGGTTTCAGGTTGAAATCTTTGGGGATTGAAATCTTGATATAACATGTTTTTTACATGGTACTGTATAAACCGAGCCAGAAAGAGGCTCACCTGTGGCGACTATAAGCGATATATTAATTTACTGTAACCGGGTTTTGAATTCCGAGTCACCAATGATGTTTTAGTTGCAATCCCTAGAATCAACATGGGTTAGCCATGGGATAAAATCGACATGGCTAAGCCGTTCATGGCTCGGATTGGACACGAATGAATTTAGTTTTATGAATTATAACTAGCCTTAACTCGCCAGAAGTGGGCTAATAGCAAAATAGGATTAGATATCAGTTGGGATTAGCAGCCATGGACTTGTGTTGTTGGTATGTTCAATTGCCACGTCTGGTTACAAGAGGGTGCAAGACATCAGTGGTGCTATAAGTGCTGCCAAATATGAACTATAGCCATAGCTGGGGTCATAAGATATTTTGGGTTGGAACTCACCATAGCCAGGGTTATAACATGTTATAACCCACCATAACCCAATCTAGGTAGGCCCCTTTACCTACATTTATAGACTGTTACAGTTGGTCAGCAGTTGGAGCCAAGCAACCGGTAAAATCTGGATCACGGAATCTCTGGCAATGGATTCATTGAGATCGATTGGATATTTGGCCTTCTGATTTGATCACTGATGATATATCCAATCTGATAAGATGGAACATTGGATATTTGGCAGATTGGATATTTGGCCTTCTTATGGATATTTGGAAGGCTGTTCTCCAAAAGATGAGCTGGAATGCCTTCTGATTTGAGCTGGATGATTTTCTGCAAGTCACCCTTTTTTTTCACGTGGCCGTCTCGAAGGCATCCCCCATTTTCAAGAGCCACATGGTTCACTAAGTCGCAATCCCAATTTTTTGGGCCATCAACTAACATTTTTGTTTGATCTATAAGCCAGCACTTATCCCCAAACTCAGTATGATAAGCGAGAGAAACAGCCTGATTTTGCATTCAAACACAGAATCATCTGAAGCTATTGATTGTTCATTTCTCAGCCACATATTTTAAATCCCAGAATTGGTATACTGGACAATCTGCAGAAAGCCGTATATTTCTGGACAAACACAACGGTTTCCGGTAAACCAATCTACTGAACTATCCAGATAATGGCTAATCATGGATATTCATGATTTATGTTGTACTACATTATTTATATATATATTATATTATATATATATATTCTGTCGCATATATTATATATTACATACAAAATACTATATATATTATACAATCCGATATATATATATATACATTACTACATATATCATATTATATAATATATTTGTATATTTGTTATATATATGTATGATATTACGTACTATAATATTTTAGATAATATATATATATATAGTGATGTATTACACTCATGATACACCCGCTACATATCCCCATTCATTTTTTTCAGATGGCGCCATGCCTTGTCTCAGGCCCTCCCCGTTGCTGATCACCAAAGATGCCGTCATGGCAATGAAGCCTGGGAGTGTCATCGTCGATTTGGTCCCTTGGCCGACGGTTCGGAAGATTTGGTTCTGAATGATGGGTTTAATATGGGTTTAATGATGATAATATGGGATATGAATGGGATATGAATGGGATATGAATGGGATATGTTGATGGCTCTCAGTAAATTAATGGGATATGGGATATTATAACGGGATATATATATATGTATATATATATATGTGTATATATATAATAAATATGAAGAATCTGATATTTCCAGAAAGAAACACTTAATGTGGTAAACTCAAAATCAACCTACCATATGGGGATGGTTTATACAACCCATACAAAATGGTGATTTTGGGGATGGTTTATCATTGGGTTTGCCACATTGATGGGTTTAATAATGTTTCATGAACCTACAGGGTGTGTCTGAGAATGGGGTACATGATTTTCGTCCACTGGTTAATCATATTATCATCATATATCACCAATGTCTATTAAAATTGCCGTTTTGGAGTGGTATACCACATTTCTAGACTCCATGTCCTGAGAACTACAAAATCGGAATCCCAACTACGCAAAGCAGCTTGGTGGGTCGACAAACAAATTGAGGTTTCCCAAAAAAAGGGGTATCAGGAAATCATCCATTTTCTTTTCGGATTTTCCATGAAATAAACCAGCAAGCTTGGGGTAGCCCTGTTTTAGGAACCCCCCAAGATGAGAAGGTTGGGCATGAGGCTGTGGCGGAATGCACAAAGGAACAAACAGATTGAACAGAAAATACATCCGCAAGCAAAAGTAGACACATGTACAATGCATATCTATATCTACTTATGTATATATTGCACATATATATATATGAAGATATATATATATGAATATATATATATATGAATATATATATATATATGTATATATTATATATATAAAGATATCATACAATATAATGTGTCCAAATCAAATCAGATATGCGATCTATTTCCACCTCACACCATCCCCAAAAACGCCCCAAGGCAGCCATTGGCGGTGGCAACTGTGAGTTGACGAAGCTGAACGAGACCTACACCACGGACAATGGTGTGACCATCATTGGCACCTCGTCGAATCTATGCCAATGGTGGTTGTATGCCAAATGATTAGTGAAAAATGGTATACTAACAATCGATGATTTGGGGAAGAGTCAAGTCATTTAAGCCCGCCATGGCTTAGTGTGACACCCCAATGATTGGTCGGGAAAATGATGAAAATGCTGGCTTAAAGTCCAAAGATGGAGTATACCAGTATACCCCCAGAGAAGGCCAATTTAATAATCTTCCATAGGGATAATTTGATGATTTTCATCACATTTTTTTTGGGTGCCCTGTTTTCAGACAAACGCAATGGGGCTGTAACCTACAGTGTTGGGCAAGCTTATAACCCGACAATGATCCACGTGTATCCACATGTGTTATACTATGCGGTTTGGTGGGGGGATGTGCCAGATGTGCCAACATGGTCTTGAACTATGGGACTTTCGTAAATCCGGGGTTCGGCTTTCCGAAGTCATGGATGCCATGGGGAACCCCAAGTTATCCAAGTTGCTGATCATGTTGTTCATGAAAAAGCCTTTTTGGTGAAATGGGGTCCCTCAGTTTTCAGAAACACCTATATGGGGGTTTCCTAAAATGGGGATGCCACCAAATCATCCATTTCAATAGGATTTTCCATTATAAACCATCCGACTATTGGGGTATCCCCATTCATGGAAACCTCCAGAGATGGTTGGGGATTGGTCTCAAAATGCTGGATGCTGTTCCACTTCCTGTTTTTTTAATGCTGTCTCTTAACGGGGAATTGATGATAAACCATGGATTTTTGTGTTTCCACATTTTGAGACATCATATATATATACATATATATATGTATATGTATATATGTATATATATATATATGTATATGTATATGTATATATATATATATATGTATACATAATTGTACATACATAAATCCGTTTCCACTAGGGCGCAAAAAAGCGGATCTGGTCCAGAAAAGAAAATGTGACATTCCCATGCAACCCCACCAACCCAAAAGGTGGTAGGGCGATCAGCAGGTGGATGAACACATAAGCCACTTAAATGTGACAGTCATGGGCTGGCTTTTTTCACAGAACTGACCGTTGTGCATCTGTCAAAACTATGGGGCTCCCAGACACCATGGGAAATCCAATTGACGGCGATGAATTTGAAAAACCTGGCGCCAAAACTTGGGTATTATCCTCTGCTAATCAAACATACTGGAAAATCCACCATTTCTAATAGGTAAACCATCTATAAATGGGCCATCTATACCATGGCTATGTTATAAAAAAACACATTCAAAAACACATTTCCGGCTGAAATCTCAATGGCCAGGCTTTGCCAACCTGCCAGCCCGCATGGCCGAGCAAGCGAGCGCCATGTATGCGCAGAACATGGCAAATCTGCTGCGCCATGTCCACGCGAAAGGAGCGCCGGAGGGCTGTGGGGATGTACATTGGGGACAATGTCCAGCTGGATAAAGTTTCACCATTGGTGATAGTGAATAGACTCAATAGATGTTAATAGCTAAAATTTCTTCAATATTCTTCATAATGGTTAACAATGATCACCATATAATGAGTGGAACATCGTGATTGATTGACAGATGGTGAATAATGGTTAATTGTGATGATTGATGGCGATTAACGGAATTCCCCTTTGGTGTCATCAGAGGTGGCTGCAAAATCCTCAGTCCATGGTGGTTTAGTTCGCTGGGAACATCATTGAACTAAATCGGGAATTTCCCCAGCCACGTTTGAGTTGGGCCTTTGCTATATTTGAGTGATGATATCCTTGAAATTTGGGTATGATCTTGGAATTTCAAATACCTGGGATATATGTGTATATATATATATACACAAAATATAGCAAATTGCCTATCAAATGGAATTTCAACATTTCAAATCAACAAAGTATATCCAACAAATCCTGGGAGACTGCCAGACTGGGTATTGATGTGCAACCCCCAGCCAGAGATGCCGCGTAAAAATTAAATACCTTGGACACCTGGAAATGGTAGGGAAAGCATCATCCATCCTATCTTTTTTTTGCCCATTGGATAACCATTGGATAACCATTGGATAACCATTGGATAAATGGGATAACCATTGGATATCTTGGGGATATCTCTATAAAATGGGATAACCATTGGATATATCAAGATGTCGCTCATCACTCATATTCATGCCCGAGGAAATTCAAGGAGTCATCTCATCATCCCGGCCATCTGAATCTCTGACCCAGACCAAAAGAAACCACATCTGACAATACAAAAAAAAACATATATTTTTGAGATCTGGTCGAAACATATCGGACAATCCTCGCATCAATCATCAGAATATGGTAAAAAGACAGAGTTTAACAGGTTTAACCATGTTTAACCATGTTTAACCATGTTTAACCATGTTTAACCATGTTTAACCATGTTTAACCATGTTTAACCATGTTTAACCATGTTTAACCATCATAAAATAAGGATTTTCACGGATTTTCCTCGGACTTTTCCAGGGATTTCACCAACATCTTCGCCAGGCAAAGCTGCTGCCTTCATTCCAAACCTCTACGGGGCCTTGGATCAGGGCGAAGAGGGCGATATCGTGTCCCGCAGCATCGTGTGTTGCAAGAGCGGCAACCCGGCAGGGGATCCCAGGTGACCTGTAGATGGAGATCCAGCAGGTAGATCTTGGTAGATTTTATCAATGTTTATCATGGTTTATCCCATAATTTATCCCATGATTTATCCCATGATTTACAACGACTCATAGTAATAGTATGTAATAGTTATGAACTGGTGGATTCTTCCACAGTATCTTGAGGCATTCTGTGCCTTCCGATGTCGATCCTGTTTGTGCGTAGAGGCGACGATGTTCACAGATTCATATTTTTGGGACGGTGCAGCCAATCACTTTCATGAGCTCTTGGGGCAAGCAGCACAAATCAAGATTTGACATGATTGGTGTTATTTTTCCACCAAACTTAAGAGAGGCTACATTGCTACATTTGGATCTGACCCAATTTTAATGACCTTTCTTGGGGTGGAAAACGGATGAACATGCTCAAATTGTTTTTTCTCACAATTTTCTCACTGCCAGCTGAGATTTTAAAAAACAGTATATATGTATATATATATATACATATATCGTGGATTGTTTTGTCAGCTGGTTAATCATCATGTTTGTCCACTTAACATGGACATTACCTTCATGCTTAAGGATGCTTAAATCTAATTTCCCATCCTAATATCCCGTTATCCCCTATGAAATCTACCCGTTCTGTTTGGTTGTATCATCACATGAAATATCCCTATGATATTTCGGTTTGAGCTGTTGATGGAGCTAGTTAACACCTCGTTATTCCACATATGTACATATATATATATTATAATATACATATAATATATATATGGTCTGGTTTAATTCAATTCCTGGTTAAATCCTGAATTTGGGTAAGCCCATACAACCCCCATTCAACCCCAAAAACAGATCCATAGAAATACCATCATCCTTTTTGGTCAAATCCATCATCTTTTTCTAAAATCATTGAACCTTTGGAGGATCTAAGATATTTTAAATGGTATTTAAATGGTATTTCAGACGATTTTGAATGGAATTCAATCCTTGAGGGTATTTTAAATGATGGTGTCACTGCAGGTGGCGATGCCACCGCCTCCGCAGCCGACACCCATCAAGCCCAAGCCCGTGAGTGCGCAGGCCAGACCTTTTGCCGTGAGTTTTTTTGGGATTTCCCAGCTCCTTTTGATAGGGGATGATAGGGAATTCGAGAAAAAAACATATAGAAAATCATGAAAAGTATGGGAAATTCTTGGAATAGTATGGGACATAAACATGGATAAACAGGAGAATTATTGTGAGTATTATGGGAAACATGACCGGAAAGTATTGGAGATCACGGGACAATTGGATGCAATTTTCTAAAATTTAGTGGGGATTACTGTATATTTTTTTCAATGTTTTTTTTTTTGCGAGTTACAGAAGAAAATGGAGAGAATCTAAGGTATCTTGCACAACAACAAGGTTTGATGTAGCGGATATGGCCGACCTTGTTTTCCTTGTGTTCAAAATTGGCAAATAAATTGGCAAATGAATTTCATGTAAAATTGTATCGTAGGTTCTAACTTCTAACCCATCCATATGTGCTTGTCGGAACATGGGGCCCCAAATCCACCGGTTGCTCATCATGTTTTCACAAACAACTGCTGTTTTGATCTATTTTGGAGGTATGTCCCTTTCTCTCTCACACACCCACACACACATACACCCGTAATCATGATATTGTTGCGCGGCGCAACAATATCATATATAATTACGGGTGTATGTGTGTGTGTGAGAGTTGCGCGTACCTCCCATTATATCCTCATAAACTGGTTTGGTTGATACCCCCGTATCTCCGACTACATCCGATGTGTATCAACATGATTCAAAATGCATGTTTTCATATTTCGCACATATGTATGTATATATATATATATACACATACACACATCCCCACAGACACCAACATTTGCCCATGAACTCTGCCAGGAACAAGCCAAGAAGACAGCAAATCCCTTCAACACAGGCTGCAGCTGTCGCAACTGTGGTTGGGTTAAAATTTGGGGTTTAAATGGTTTAAGCATAGACACGGACCAAACAAAACTAGGGGTCAATCGTGACTTGACTAAACATTGTGGGATGTTTAATCATAGAAATGGGATACCCTCTGGTAAACTAACATGACTATGGAAAATCACCGTTTTTAATGGGTAAATCAACTATAAATGACAATTTTCAATAGCTATGTTAGTTTACCAGAGGGTACCTGCAAACTCTAAAGGGCCAAAAGGAGCGCTGGTTCCTCCAGTCTCAACGCCCCCGTTCTGTCTCTGAGTGCCTTGCTCGGTCATGATGTCAGTTTCCGGCATTTTTGTTGTGTGGCTTGACTTTCAAGGCATAAGTTGACCGCCAAAAACTGGGGGTTAAGCACTATACATATGGGCTTTAGCCAGGCATCATGAGATTTTTAGCCAGGCGTTATCCATGGGATTTCGTGGGTTTGTCTCAAAATTCCGTGAGGGACCACAGAGTGTAATAGATCCCAATGCAATGTAGATGAGACATGGCAGTATCCGTTATTTCCATGGTTTACATTGGATTCATGTGGCCTTTCCTATTGGTTGCCAGGAGGTCTAATGCGCGGCTTGTATTTTTGCAGATGCTGATCCTTCCAATTTGCCAGCATGTGTACATGCCCGGGTCAGCCAAACACCAAGTCTATTTCCCAGACCGGGTTGAAGGGGAGGATGGAGAATCTACTGTATCTCCCATTTTTTTCTGTCTTCCGAAACCATCCCCATGAACATCCTCCAACATGCTGGCTTTTTTTGGCAGGACTCCCCAAACAGGTGAAAAAATTCTCGCAGGATGCTTTGTTTCTCTCTCTCTCTCTATATATTATATATTTACCTCATTGTTTTATAGCCAATAATATATATATATATAATATGTATATATAATTATATATGCATACATATGAGTAACCGACAAAATTAGCTGAAGACTAAAGTAGTAGGGAGTGGACTTGGGATGTTCAAAATTGTGTGAAAACCTTCACAACCGATAGGGGACCACCCACTTTGGCCATGTCCATTGCGAGTAGAACTGGTGCTAGTCCTGGATAGGGGCTGATTAGGGTCTATCCAACCTTTTCCATGTTTTCTTTGGTATCTATCTATCTGTCTGCCTGTCTGTCTGTCTAGCTATCTATCTAATCTAATCTAATCTAAATCTAATCTATTCTATTCTATTCTATTCTAATCTAATCTAATCTATCTGTCTATCTATCTGACTCACAAACTCACTAAATAAATAACAAACTAACTCAGCAACTAAGCAAGTAAATAAACAAGCAAATAGCAAACTACTTCACGAACTGACTAAGCAGCAAACTACCTAATTGACCTACTAACTACCTCACTAACTGACCAACTAACAAACCTATCGGCTAACTAGCAACTAACACACACACACAAACTAATTTCCTAGCTAGCCAACTATGTAACTAAATAGTCTATCTATCTATCTATCTAACCTAAGCTAGACTAATCTCATTTGCTATGGTTTAATCTAACCTAATCCAATCTAGTTTCTCTATCTACATATTGATAGGCAAAGGATACACAGCTGTCATTTCCCAACTGTCATCCTGGCACCACCATTCTCTTCCTGGCAGCCCTGATCTCTGCCACGGTGCTGACCTTCACGTGTTGCTGCATGGTGGGCTTGGGCCCGACAGCCCAGAAAAACTGGGATTTCACCTGCCAAACACTGAGAATTTTACCCATCGTTTGATGATCAAAAATGGGAAAGGTAAGCCATGGGGGTTTAACCAGCCAATATGGGGATTCGAACATGAGGACACTATGCAAAACTTGGATGTAACTTGGATGTAACCCATGAAGAGTGGAGGGTTTGTCCTCAACTGGGCTGGGGTGATGTTTTTTTTTTTCCACCACTGGATTCCTTGGGTGCCCTTTTTTTTTGGGATACATTGGGGGATGGGTATCCTCACCAACACAGCATGGTGATCCATCCCTCCCCGGGTCAACAATTCATATCATACCATTTAGGATTTTTTTTTTCGGTGATGGATAATAGCGGGGATGGATAATATTTGTTTTTTTTTAATGATTACCATATTTGGATAATGATATATAATGATTACCTTTTTTTTGGAGGAATAATCATCCATAAACCAGCTCCATACCAGCTACATACCAGCTACAATAGCTACAATCAATATTCTGATCTGAACGAATCTAAGAAAAGATCGGCTTGCAACGACATCACCCTAGCTGCTATAGTTGATTTTGTTTCAGGTGAATGATGATAATTCGTCCAGATCAAGCCTAATGATAAATGAATGGACAGATCCCTTGGCCTTATTCCGAACTGGCGATGTCATACCCTCCAGTGACGATTGGGGGCTTTACTACAATACATTGGGGGTTGCCTTAGTCCATGAATTGTTACTCCCGACTGTACAATCATCACAAGGATCTTTTTTTCGAATTACCCTCTGGTAATTTAACATAGCTATTGAAAATGGCCATTTATAGTTGATTTTCCCATTAAAAATGGTGATTTCCCATAGTTTTTTGTATGTTTACCAGAGGGTAGTTTCTTGTTGGCGACATCCCGACACGATTGCGGCTGAAGTGACCTGACCGTTGCGGGCAACATGCCTGAGGTGAAGGAGTGTCTACGTCCTTGTTGAGCACATTCCTTCTGGCGTCTTGGCCATAACCAGGCCTCGTGCAGGCCGTCACAATCCAGCTATTTGAAACGAACTATCCCCACCCCATTTTTCCATTTGTTTCTCATCTTGAGACGGTGTTCCGATGTAGTGACCTGAGTCTTGTCCAAAATTTCTGACCCAAACTCCAGTGGTTTATGTTGATGTTCCCAGGCAGGTGCGGCCGGATACCAAGCGGTTTGGGGCGTGGCTCATGCCTTGCACACGCCCTTGATGTCTGCCACCCGGCAGAAAACGCGGTGATTTTTGACATTTTGGACCAAACAAACACGGGGATTTGTTTTTTTTGCCCCCGAAAGACCGTGGGGAATTTGGGCCAACCACAGTTTTGATGGGCTTTGTTTTTTTTTGTTGGATATCTTGATGGGGATTGAACCAGCAAAACACTGGCAAACATTTTGTACAACTGATGTGAAGTGTGGAGCATCGACCACTGGTTTTTCATGGATTCGGATACCTCATCCAGGAAGTTGATTCCAAAGCCTCGATTCATGCGCTAGCTGGCCATTTAACGAAAAGAAATGGGGGGATGTCCATGAAAGAACATGGCCCAAATCATTGCATCATATTGCATCATATTCAATGGTGAAGGACTAAAACATAACTCCGGCGAAATAACACCTGTTTCTTGGACCAAAAAGATCAGAACATCAGAAACCATGTGGGGATTTCCATAAATGGAAGTAGCCAACTGGTTGGTGGTTTGGAACATGGCTTTTATTTTTCCATTCAGTTGGGAATCATTGGGAATGTCATCATCCCAACTGACTTTCACTCCATCATTTTTCAGAGGGGCTCAACCAGCAACCATAGATATACCATAGATATACCATAGATATACCATAGATATACCATAGATATCAGATATACCATAGATATACCATAGATATACCATAGATATACCATAGATATCAGATATACCATAGATATACCATAGATATACCATAGATATACCATAGATATACCATAGATATCAGATATACCATAGATACCAGATATACCATAGATATACCAAAGATATACCATAGATATACCATAGATATACCATAGATATCAGATATACCATAGATATACCATAGATATACCATAGATATATACCATAGATATATACCATAGATATATACCATAGATATATACCATAGATATATACCATAGATATATACCATAGATATACCATAGATATACCATAGATATACCATAGATATACCATAGATATCAGATATACCATAGATATACCAAAGATATACCAAAGATATACCATAGATATACCATAGATATACCAAAGATATACCATAGATATACCATAGATATACCATAGATATACCATAGATATACCAAAGATATACCATAGATATACCATAGATATACCAAAGATATACCATAGATATACCATAGATATACCATAGATATACCATAGATATACCATAGATATACCATAGATATACCATAGATATACCATAGATATATATACCATAGATATCCATAGATGACAGAGATATACCATAGATATACCATAGATATGATATACCATAGAGATCCATACCATAGATATACCATAGATATACCATAGATATACCATAGATATACCATAGATATACCATAGACTAACGATATACCACCTAGATATATACCACATAGATATACCATAGATATACCATAGATATACCATAGAGATATACCATAGATATACCATAGATATTACCATAGAGATATATCCATAGACCGATTAATAGCCCATATGATATACCATAGATATACCATATATATACCATCCATAGATATACATAGTACCATAGATATACCATAGATATACCATAGATATACCAATAGATATACCCATAGAGATCAGATATACCAGATAGATATACCATAGATATACCATAGATATACCAGATATCCGATAGATACCATAGATATACCATAGATATACCATAGATATACCATAGATATACCATAGATATCACCATAGATACCATAGATATACCATAGATATACCATAGATATACCATATATCCATAGATATACCATAGATATACCATAGATATACCATAGATATACCATATACCATAGATATACCATAGATATACCATAGATATACCATAGATATACCATAGATATACCATAGATATACCATAGATATACCATAGATATACCATAGATATACCATAGATATACCATAGATATACCATAGATACCATAGATATCAGATATACCATAGATATACCATAGATATCAGATATACCATAGATATACCATAGATATACCATAGATATACCATAGATATCAGATATACCATAGATATACCATAGATATACCATAGATATACCATAGATATACCATAGATATCAGATATACCATAGATATACCATAGATATACCATAGATATACCATAGATATACCATAGATATACCATAGATATACCATAGATATACCATAGATATACCAAAAATATGGATGATTTGTCGGTACCAGGTGACCAATGCCATCAGTGGCATGACGGCCATCGGCGGCTTGCTGCTGCTGGACAGATCGTTGCTTGGCGCGATGGGGTCATCCCTGGAAATTCCGTAAATTTGGGTATGGGTTCAAAATTGAGTACCCCAATCATTGGATGTTTTAATACATGTTATGTAGATATATAATACATGATACATGTTAATTCCTTGTTGGATCTTGTTGGAAGAGACAATCTTGATCGATTTAGAGGATGTTTTGCGTTTTCCATGGTTTTTGGCCAGTATACATACAAAACATATATATATATACATATATTAAACGTTATATACTATATACCGCATGCATACGTATGTATAAAATTGTGTGTGCATATATAATCATATATATATGAATTTATATATATATGTATATATATATGTATATATATACAATTATATATATATACAATTATATATATATTTGTGTATATATATATTAATTGTATATATATAGATATGTATACAATTATATTTATATATGTGTACATACTTTCCACATGGCGCCAGTGCCTCATCCTGAGGAGCTCCTGGTTCGCTCAGTTTCTGGCGCTGATCGCTGTGCTGGTCTCCGCAGTGAACATCATCGGCGGCTTCGTCGTCTCGCAGCGGATGCTGAACCTCTTCAAGTGTCGTGGCAGATGGGCGGAGATGGGGGCCATGGGGGCGGCTTATTTAAGGGGATTTTCACCATGAAACATAGAGATTTAGCTGATTTAAACCATGAAGAATGGATATTGAAAGGGCATTTCATGTTTTTTTTCATGCCTTTTTCAATGGGGAATTTCATGGGGTACGCCCTAATTACTGGTGTTTTGATGAGGATGTGATGAAGTTTGAATGATTAATAGGGAAATTCATGGGGGTTGAAAGTGGATTCAGTGAGGGTTCAATGTTTTAATGGGAATCTACTGTAATTGGATTGGTTGGGGTAAACTAATGGAATATGTATATATATGTATATATATATACAGTACATATATAACCATAAAGGTAGATTGACGTGGTTTGATGGCTTGGTGATAAGTTGTTTTTTTGGTGTCATACGTTGGTGTAATTGAAACCAATATTGTATAATTACAGCTTTCCAATCACCAGGTCACCATCTTGGAGGATGTTTTTTCTCAATTTTGACTGCTGAGAGAAAGAATATCTTCGGGCTTGACATTTGATCTTGGTTCTAAATCTTGGTGTCGGTTTTTTTTTGGTCGCGCTGGTCACGTGGCCCTACCGGGACTAGAAGATGTTACGTTCATATCTTGGGCATGATTTATGAGGGAGTGCGATGTAGAAACCCCAATATCTGGGATCTATAAGGGGATTATGCGATGTAATTGAGTCAGCAAAAATGGGGAGCCTGAGGAGCGCCGAGCTGACTCAATTGACCGTGAAATGGCAACATTTTGGAAACAGCAAATTGATTGCCTTTCAAATTAGGCTTGAAGACTTGAAGATTCTGAGATTTCTGAGGTATCCAGATGTATCCAGAACTGGCTTGGTCTCCTTGAGACGTTTGGAGTGTTTTTGTGCCTTTTCCATCCATGAGGAAGGAAGGGGAGAAGGACTACTCGCCCTTTATGCTGCTGCCGGGCTTGGTGTTCCTGATCGTATGCCTCACAAAGCCTGAGCTTTTGAAGGCCGAAAATCGATGGCCCGAAGATTGTGGCGTACTCAAAACATGGCTTGATATGTGGGGGTTTTCCATAAATGGTGGTACCCCCCAAATGGAGGGTTTATGAGGGAAATTCCATCTATAAATGGATGATTTAGGGGTAGCCCTACATAAGGGGATGGTCATCGATCCATATGATCCAGTAGGGGTTGATATAGAATGATATAGATCCGATGGTCCCCTTTCATCGTACCTTGACAGCACGTGAGAGCGCCCTTCCCAAGGCTGCCTGGCGCATTTGTCCCAGAATTGTGGAAGATCTCTTTGGAAACTTTGCAAATGAAACGCACCTTTCTGTTTGCCAAAACCATATATCATACAATTTACATATATTTACTGTATATAATATATTCTAAACAAATCTAAAAAAACAATTTCCCTTGCATCCTTCGGACATTTGGCGGTGGAACCATTCCTGATTTTTTCCAGTTTTTTTTTGTGACATGTTAGTTTACCAGAGGGTTTAAACATGTTCGCTGCAACCCCTAGGTTTGCCCGCGGCCAATCCCGCATATCTTTTGACATGCTCAAATCCCTGCGCAGGGTTCAAGTTTTTACTTTCCAAAACAACAAACACCAAAACCCTAAAACCTAAAACCCTAAAACCTAAAACCCTAAATTAAAACCCTAAATCCTGAAAACTCAGTGTTTTCATTTTTCCTCTGGTGATAAGTATATATTGTTTGGATGTGTTGTTTGAGTGTGGGCGAACCAGGGGGTTGCGGGAAACATGTTTAAATCATGGTTAGGGGATGTTAGGGGAAATCAAACCCCTTATTAAGTTCCATTAAACCACCATTATACCCATGTTTACTCTCTGGTAATCCAACATAGCGAAGTGGAAAATCACAGAGACAATCAGAAATCAATGATTTCTATGGGCCATTTTCCAGTTCGCAAACTGTTAGTTTACCAGAGGCTAGTCACCATGACATGGTTATTCCAGCCACCGTAATCGAGGCGGTCAGCACCGTGAGTGCGCTGCTGTGCATCGCGGCCATTGGCGGCCTGGCCACGATGAGCACGGCCAACAGCGGCTGCAAATTCGGCGGCCCGGCAAAGTCATGGGCCCCATGTCACTACGTATAACTGGGTAAATTTCATCACGACCTCACTGCGACCGAACCCTGGGAATCATGGTTTATTTGAGGGGAATCATCCCCAAATGGCCGCAAGATTCAGGTTAGTGAAATATTATAATTTACCCAGCTATATGTAACTGTTGAGGGGATACATCCATGGGATAACTTGCCGTAATATATATAATATATACATATAGTGTGTAACTACCAGATAGAATATTGACTAATTATTTTGGGCCAATTACTTCAATTCAGAAATTCTGCGCCGAGCCTGAGAATTCTATCTGCATGCAGATAGAATATGGGATGTCCAAAGCATAAACATACAAAACACACATATTCAATTCAAACCTGCACCTCACACATGGTCAAACACCCGGAGACAATGACATGTTTGTGTGTTTCGGCATTCATGACCATGATTTCAACTGCTTCTTCAGCTCAAAGTATGTGCACACTGCGCACAGGAACACCACACCAGATCCAAAGAATAGCAAAGCAAATTGTTCAGAAATATGATTTGAAGAACTTCTGCATATGTTATCTACACATATGTATATATATATAATTATATATATATGTATATTATATACATATATATATATATATATGTACATATATATACACAATCAGTATATATATATATATGAATCATAATAATTATCCCTTTGATTCACATCCTTCCCATAAATGTGGTAAATTCATCTGAGAATAACGTGTATCAACATCTATTAGCCATCTATAAGCATGTGGGAAGATCATGTAGGTCGTAACCCGTCTCATTTCGCTGGCGCTTGGTGGCCCATTTCGCCGCCCTGAGGCATGGTGGGAGTCTTCGGCGCAATGGCCGCAGCAATGGTCAGTCTCTTGGCTTGAGAACGGAGAGGTTCGATTCTGGAGCCGAGCTTTTGTATGTTTAAATACCACATTTATATGTGTAGATAGATAGATAGATGGATAGATTAATAGATATATGATATATATATATATATATATATGTATGCTCCAGGCACTGCCACCCTCTCTACACCCCCCCATGGTGTGGGTACCCCTCCTCCCCCCCTGTGGTATTGGCTGTGGTGGTGGGGGGTGGTAAATCCCCCCTCCTCCAATGTGGTGATGGCTGTGGTGATGGGGGGTGGTAATTAGTTATATAGATTGGTAGTGAACAGATATTAGGTGTATAGTATATAGTATTGGGAATTACATACGGTTGTAAATAATGTATAGGTATGTAGGCATGCAATGGTTGGTATATTAGGTATGTATTAGGTTATACAAGGTATCTATTAGGTGTGTAGTGTTAGGTATGTAGGGTTAGGTTTTCTGTATGTATATAATATTTAGTGGTTTTAAGTACGATATATATATATATATATATCCCCGCGGGGCGGACGTTCGCCCAAAGTTTCATTGGGGGTTTAGTTGCGTTGTGATTTGTTCAGGATATGTTTCAGACTGTTTAAGGGTTTGCTTAGGGTTGGTTTAGATTTTCTTTGGTGTTTATTTCGGGTTTGTTTTGTTTTTTAGGGTTTCCTCATGGTTGTTTTAGGTGTCAAGACCAGTTTAGAGGCCATGCGCGTGTGGATATTTTGGGTGTGGGGGCGGGTGGGGGGGGGGGGGGGGGGGGGTGGGGGGGTGGGCGGGGGGGAAACAACACAGCAGATTGCAGTCCCGAATGGAATTCCGTGGATTTCGGGCAAACGCCAGCCCCCTAGCGTACATATATTGTGTATATATGCATACACTATATGTACATATATATATATACGTATGTATGTAATGTATGTATGTATGTATGTATGTAATGTAATGTTATGTTATGTTATGTTATGTTATGTAATGTAATGTAATGTAATGTAAATGTAATGTA